TTGGACGACGGTTTTATTTATCCGACGGAAATAGAAATGATGTATCGTTTAGAATTAAAGAAAAAAAGAATAATGTTATAGTTACATAGTATCTGAGGTTGGATAAAGACACGGGTCCATCACGCTCAGCCTTTGTGTCTGTGTGTGATTGTGCATGTGTGTGTGCAATGGTGTATTTTAGTTTGGGGCTATCCAGCTTTTGGTATGTTCCGCTATTAGCGTGGCAGGAAAGCTGGGGTCTCAGGTGGGCTCTGCAGGATCTGTGGTGGGCTCTGCGGGGGTCTATGGTGGGCTTCATAGACCTTGCAGAGCCCGCCACAGATCCTGCAAAGCCCCCCTGAGACCCTGTGATCTGCAGGGTCTCAGGGGGGCTTTGCAGGATCTGTGGCGGCGGCGTCCTCCTCACCCGTCCTCCTCATCCATAAAACATATGACATCCCTATAAACCAACACCCGTGTGTAAAAGTCCCGTTTACCACGAGGGCTGAAACAATGATCTCCATATACTGTGATACCCGGCACCCTGCAGAGGGAATTCGAGAAGACTCCAACCAATTGCCCCCTTCCAAATCTAGGTGACACCCGATAATGTGTGTGTGTATGTGGGTATGCGTGTGTTTATATGTGTGTATATGTGTGCGCATGTAGGTATGCATGTGTTTATATGTGTGCGTGTGTATGTATATGTATGTGTGTGTATGTAGGTATGCTTGTGTTTATATGTTTGTGTATGTAGGTATGCAGGTGTTTGTGTGTATATGTGTGCGTGTGTGTGCATGTAGGTATGCATGTGTTTAGATGTGTGTGTGTGTGTGTGTATGTATGTATGTATGTGTGTGTATGTATGCATGTGAATGTATGCGTGTGTATGTATGTGTGCGTGTGTTTGTGTTGATGTTTATGTGAGCGTGTGTATCTGTGTGTGTGTATGTATAGGTGTGTGCGTGTGTATGTATGTGTGTGTGTGCTTGTGTGCGCGCGTACGTGCTGTTTTTGGAGACAGAGAAGGCCGGTACTTGCTAACATTCAGCACTTTAGTTAAAGGATCACTCCACCCAAAATTGGTGTTTTACTTTTTTTTGGGGTGACAACGGGGAGTTGAAGTGTTGCTCGGGGCAGAGGCGACCATCTGTCTTCATGTTATATGCACAATGGTATTATGTTCCTTAGTTTACACAAAGAAATTGCCTGGTGATCCGGCCATTTCCCTTATTCTGACACTAGTTCCAGTGCTGGGCTGTCAACGCTATTAAGGCGCTATGGCCAATTCCCCAAGCGTTGTCACCCGGCCGGCACCCAGAGAAGCTTCCCCAATCCATTATGCATCCATAGGTGACTGTGACAAAGTTATGGCCAATCACGAAGCGTTGTCACCCGGCACCCAGAAGCTTCTCCAATCCATTATGCATCCATAGGTGACTGTGACAAAGTTATGGCCAATCACGAAGCGTTGTCACCCGGCACCCAGAAGCTTCTCCAATCCATTATGCATCCATAGGTGACCTTGCAGGTAGGAGGCCTCTTCGGACGTTCATACGCAGCAACTCTGAAGGCGCTCTGGAGCCCGGAGAAGGCCACTTCTAGGTCGCTGATAGTTTCCACCCACAAAAGCGCTTAAAGCCTGGAAATTTGTGGTCATGTGACCGCCACTAAAACTATCTAGAACAGCTACTTCTGAAGAAATGGTAATATGGCGGCTCTTGGGGTTGTGTTGGGAAGTTTGGTACCTTTCTCCAGCTTCTGGAAAAATGTGTTGAGCTGCCCCCCCAACTTCCTGAAATTGAATGGTTCACAAAGCACTACCTGTCACCTACTTCCTGTGGACCAGGGCGTCAAGGACACGCCCCCTGAGGGTGTGTCATCAAGCCTTCACGGGGTCTTGGGAATGGCGCCACGTCATTAATTGACCCGTGATGTCACGTGACCGGACTGAAGACTAGATGATGGCCGAGGGATGTCGCTACTGAAGTCTCCTTAAAGGTGTAAGACGCATATTTCACCTTCAACTCAACTACCCCTTGCAGGAGGATTGGCCTTTTCAAAGCTCGATCTCCGCTGCCAATCTTGGGCTTTGGAGTATGAGGGATCTGGGTGGCTGTAGAGCCGCCCGATCACTTGTACCTGCCTCGGAAGGTGTCCCCCACCCCCTTGTCGTGGTTTTCGGACTCCCCCACTCCTCTAAGGGGGGCGCTGAACAACACCAACCAGTGTCAGGATGGAGAGCGGGGGAGGGCCGAGGATCGTCCATTCCCCGATCTGCTCTGTGATGAATGAAGTAGGAAGCGCTGGGCTCTCATCACTTCCTGTTTCAGCTGTCACAGCCCAGGCTGAAGTTTCGGTTACACAAACGATGGAGAACATCCCTGTGGCTGATCATCTGTATTAGGGGGCAGGGGGGACACTAGAGGTCTAATAGACCCCCGATGTCTCTTGATAGATCTCTCCACAGAGGACGAGTCACCCGTGATCTCCCTGCAGATGACCTTTTCCCCATTACTGCCTTGCCATGCCTTGTTCTGCACTGTGTCTGCCATGCAGGTGGGCGGCCATCTTAGTAGAGGCAGGGCTTTACTCCCTCATGTCAGAGCCTCCAGCAAGGAGAACATTGAGCAGCACAGCAGTGATATTACCAAATCTCCTGAGACTAGAGCCAGAGGCAGCAGTGCCTGGGATGATCTCACGCTGCAGATATACAGATATGAGCTGCGGGCGCACTCACATAGATGGAAGAGATGTTCTCAGGAGGAATTCCAGACAGGGAGACATGATTCAGAGTGCAGCGTAGGTCCCATCATATACTATCCCAGAGAGAGAAGGGAGAGAGAGGAGGGGAGAGAGAGAGAAGGGGGAGAGAGAGAGAGGAGGGGAGAGAGACAGAGAGAGGGCGAGACAGAGAGAAGGGGGGATTTTTTTTTATATCTCAGTGATATCGGCGCAGTATATATATCCGTAATGAGCGCACACAGCGCTGTAGATTCCGCGGCCAGCAGCACACAGGCCCCGCCCCCTCCCTCCAGCAGTAATTCGACGGGCAAAATAGAGATAAGGGGCGTGTCTCATGGGCGTGTCTCATGGGCGTGCCCAGTGTCGGGGCGGTGTGTGGCCGTTGGCGGAGGGATACGCGCTCTTATAAAGCAGTGCGGCTCGCGATCATACCCCCAGCACTGTGTGGAGCCCGGTGTGCGGTGCGTCTCGTTCTTATCCCGACACTCGGATCTGTAATCAGCCGACAGCATGGTACGTAGCCGGGGCCTCTCTCTCTCTCCCCATCCTTGCCCAAACCCCCCCCTTCTCCGGGCCGGGGGCCGCGCTCCGGATCGGGAATGGATCTCCGGCTTCAGGCACCGCTCCGAAGCCCACTCTGCCCGGCCGGCTGGCTTATGGGGGGGCGGGGCCAGACCTGGGGCTTGCCACCGTTGGAGCCTGGGCGCGTCCTCGCCGCCGGCGTTGCTGCACAGCCCCTTGGGGGGCTCGGAACATACCCTTTATTATACTGCTTTTGCAGCAGCAGCCTGTTTACTGTCTCTGCCTGTTTTAGGTTTACTTGGTATTCTTTTTTTTCTTATTAACCTGCTGTGAAGGTGTTATGGTCACGTGTCCACCAGGTGTGTATGTGTCTCCTATCTATATAGATATATCTAGATATATATTAGTGTGTGTATATAATCTGGTAGCATGTCGCCCCTTTCCCTATGAAGTTTGCTGTCTAGTTTATTCAGTAATGTGTCATGGATGGTGGTATCTGGCATCCCTGGCACGATCATGGTGGTATCTGGCATCCCCGGCACCATTCTGTGCTGCTTGTAGTATATGGGGGTTCTGTGGGCTCAGTTCCCACCATACACAGAACAACCTTTGCCCAATATGATCCCACTGTATGAGTTCCTTCAATGGTCACCATCACATCCTCTGTTCCCAGATCCATGTGTACGGTTGTGATTCCCTGCCCCACCTCCCTTCGGGTTTTGGTTCTCCTTGGCGGCCTGTATAATATTTTGATGGATCAGCCCCAATTGTGCCCCTGGGGCGGTCTGATTGGTGAGTGCGGTCTGTCGATATTTTCCAGCAAGCTGGATGTCCCTGGAATGTGAGGATGTCAGTGATGATTTGGTTATAATGTTTGTCTGAGACCGGAATGTCCCAATCCTATAGCGGGGGGGGGGCTTCTGACCCAAGGTGAAATGCTGTGGTACATTTTGATCTGGTGCCGTCTTATCTGTTGCATATCGAAACCGGTTTGCTGCAGATGGGGATGCCGACTGGCGGGGCAATGGACTGACCCGGTGCTTTGTTGCTGGGCGTTGGATGATAGATATTTCTTTAGAGACTATTCAATCTCCATATCCTGTGTCGGGCTCCACAGCTGGTGAGCATCGTTATTTTTGGGTTGCGGTCGAAGAGGAAACGAGCGAACGGAAGACGGCGTGTTTTACCTGTTAAGAGGAAGCTGCCGACCTCGCTCGCCTCCATTGTTTTCCCCGGAGGAACGGCTGAGTCTTGTGCTCCATGACACAGCCTGAGCCATATATAGCTGCCCCCCTCCCACCACACACCTTTTTGTAGTTCTCATTGTCCCGGAGCAAGGGGCACCGTGTGGTTGTGTTCAGGGTCTCTTGTAAATCGACATTTACAGTTTTCTGACTTGCTCAGGTCTTGCGGTTGCCCCCAATTGTACACGGGTCTGATTTGTATGTTACCGGACAGCTTGGTTTGTGTGCAATGAAAGGGCTAATAAAATATGTTGCAGATCAAATGCGTCCCGTGTGTGTCGCTCTTATGAATTGCAAAGATAAAGCCATTGTGTTGTAGATTGTCGCAATGCACAGCCGGCTTCAGTCTTGATTGCAGAATGGGGTTGCTATAGATATGGGCTGCGTGGCGGTCCCGCTGACTTTGGGCTCCTCTCTGGTGGTCCACCATTGGGCATGAAGCCTAGATCATAAGATCTGCAATAGGAAGGTTTTTGATTTCAAAAGCCGGTGCCCGCGGTGGTCTGCCCGGGCTCTGGTGCCCGTGGTGGTCTGCCTGCGCTCTGAAAGCCATTGGTGGTTGTCTGGATTTGATGTCTAGTTGCACATATGACTTCTGGGTGGCATCGTGAACAAGATGATTGTCTGCAACATTGTTTCCATAAATGGCCGCCATGCAGCTGCAGGCAGGTGAATTGCTGTACTTTAGCCCTTGTCATGACGGGAAGATATCAGGTTTGATTTCCTCACTCCCCTGTGACTACAGACTGCAGTGTTCCGGTCCCATTCTTGGATTGGGGTCCCTGTTGTATTTCTGAATATAAGTCGCCTGCTGTGTTTGGCAAATTTGTGGCTGCAGGTTGGCGACATTCCTGTGGACGCAGACTGGCGCCCGTGCTTTATTTTGGTCCCAGGTGCAGCAGACGGGTAAATTGCTGTACTTCTGCCATGACAGGCAGGTATCATGTTTGGGGGTCCCCCTGCAGCTACAGACTACAGTCTGCTGTGTTCTGGTCCCCCTCCATTTGTGGATTGGGGTCCCAGTTTTGGTCCCGCCATGGTGTTTGGTGCATCTATAACTTGCAGATTGGCGCCTTCCTTTTTGCTCCCCCGGTGGCCTTAGATTGGCGACGCGCTTTTATTTTGGTCCCTGGCGCAAGCAGACAGGTGAATCGTGCCGTTCCGATGTGCTGAGGTCTTAAATCACCTCTAGCGGTTCAGGAATCGAATGTTAATCTTCTTTAGCTGGAACGTTTCCGGCTCTCGTGTTCCCAGCGGTGACCCGGCCGAGTTATTTTAAGCTTGTGCTAGAGAGGCTTAACGTGGCATGACTGCAGGTAGCCGGGGATCCCGGAGACCGAGCCCCGGCTCAATGTCCTCCACACGCTTCTATGGCTCGTGCTGGAGCACTCGGCGCTGCGCGGTCACATTGTTCTGCTCCTTGGGGCATATTGGGCAATTGCTAGTGGTGGTCCAATCCCCCCTTTATGATGGCCATAGATGTAGCATTCCAGGACTGATTTGGGTTCATGTAATCAAACTATCCATCAGATTAACTTATTGATTGACCCAGCACACAGTGTCTGCACTCCGAACCGTTGTATTGATCGTTATGTTTAGTTGATCAGTCCTGGGAACAATCAATTAAAAACTGATTGTTTCATCAATCTGTGTTGCGATGGGTTCGCTTGCAGAGATGTTCAGTCGGTCTGATGCAGCAAGAGTCCAAACTGAGCAAACAGTGTCTCCGGCTGGTAAGTTTAGTTATTTTTTTTAATGCTATTTGATCAGTTTATTCACGTTGAATGATCATGGCTATGTCTGTGGCCAGCATTGGATTTGCTGCAATCTATTCCCCCTTCTGGGATGAGCTCCAAAGACCTCGCCAAAAAGGTTGCCGGTGTGCAAGATCTGGGGGGGGGGGGGGGGGG